CCCCCCCCCCCCATGGGAAACCTGCATCCCTCCTTGCAGATGAGGCTAAGTCCCCCTGAACTAGATTATCCCTTTATGAAGAAAACGATAATCGGAAAAATTAGTGTATTTATGGATTTAACATATCATTTAGTCACCGAATTTATCTAAATTTTGAAACTGTGCCAGGCTGTCTTTGTGCAGCGGTTCAAAACTTAGGTGGCTCTTGAACCCGTTTATTGGAGTATGGTTTGTTAAATTCCCGTTCTTGGCGTTCTATTATAATTATATCGATTGATAACCAAAAGGCAGCATTTTCTGCATCTTCAATTTTAATTTGCAGGGATAAAGCTATGCATTGGCAACCCAGTAGATTGTGAGCTTCTCGATCTTATCCAAACCGAAGTTGGAAATCTTCAGGAGTGTGTCACGCTGTTTAATGAAGACTCAAAGGCGGATAAGGTACAAACAATCGCAATTTCTACACAACAGGACAAAACTTTAACTGAAATAATAAAACGGACCACAAGTAAACAAGAATCTAATTAACAGCAAAACTCGAACACTATAGCGACACGCAAAGCTAGTGATTAACACCGCTTACCGATTATTCATGCCACAATCAACCCGATACCGATTTTATAATGACGTCATAATATCAGTCGACCGAGTAAAGGCGACGTCATTCATGTCAATTTTTTAACGATAATTTCCAACGTAACATGTTACTGCGCTGGCTGCAACCCAAGATCGTTACTACAACCAAAGATTAATTTAACATATTGAGTTAAAACACAACATGTATCAACGTGCAATGCATATAATTTTTAAAGTGTGTATTTTCTCAACAATCGGTTTTTGAAAGTCGTAAATATAGATAATTCTACCAATTCCGATTGTCTAATGATAAGGCAAAAATCGTCCGACGCCAATACCGATACAGATTATCGGTCAATCACCACTCAAAGCAACTAGCTCTTCTCTCCAGCTCCGAGAAAGGAAAAAGTGGTAGCAATGAACCGCAACTGTAAAGAACAACAACGACTAACAGCGAGGGGGAAACAACAACAAGGGGCTTCGGTTGCGAAGTGGTTAGCACACTTGCCTTTCACCTCTCAGGTCGCAGGTTCAAATCTCAGTGAGAACCCAGTCCTCATGTGAAAAGAGTAAAAGTCAAACGCTCTGCCGAAAGTCGTGGGTTTTCTCCGGGTACTCCGGTTTCCTCCCAAAGGGAAAGTTGACAGGTTGGGTTAGGTAAAAGTGCCCACAGTAATTGGCATATGCTGTTGTGGTGACCCTTCCCTAATTGGTATAGCTAAATAAACAACAACAACAACAACAACAACAACAACAACAACAACAACAACAACAACAACAACAACAACAACAACAACAACAACAACAACAACAACAACAACAACAACAACAACAACAACAACAACAACGACAACGACGACAGTCATGATAGAGACAAATCGTCGACGTTGCTCAAGGTGCTGTTACAGTGCTGATTTTCAAGTTCTATCATCAACCTTGTGCCCTATAGCATTGTGTATAGCATTGCTTGTTTTGACCAAAATTATTGTAGGGTAAGTTGCAAAAAGCGTTGCAAACAGAACAGTACATGTGGTGTTCTTGGGCTTACTTAGGGGTCGGTCATTATTTATGGCGGTGGTGGCACCGAAGAGAAAAGGTAAAAAGTTGGGTAAACACAATGTCGAGTAAGTAAAAAGTTGGGTAAATGAAAAACAAAACAACTCAATGTTTGGGTAATAAAAATGTGTTGTCATTTCCAAAGCATGATTCACTCAAATACTGAAGACTAAAAAGCAATGTCAACAGTCATCTGTCAATACAATATGTAAATCAATCAATCAATCAGAGTAACTATCTTGATAATTTTCCTATGAAAAAATGAATATGATGGAGGCTAATGCCGGTGTACATGTGCCAACATGAAACTTTAACTGCAGAAAATTGCACAAACAATTATCAAACTTACGTTCACGGAAGTGGTGATGTGTGGCCAGGGGTGGGTATTTGTTTTTTAATTGATATTTGAGGTTGGCTAAAACTTTTTCGACTTTTTAATGGCCAAATCAGCGAAAATGTTTCCAAGAAAAACATTACTATTTGGTGCCACCCTCGTCCATAATGACCGGTCCCTTAATTCATTTAAATTTCTAACTAACACATCAATATATTAATTACACCATATTACATTTTTTGCAGGAAAGGCTGCTACACAGTTTACAAACTTTTCAAACTTCATTGAGTATTGAGATCTGTGACCTAAGACACAGACAAGTACTCACTGAAGAAAATGTTGATAGACTTAAACTGGAACAGCTTACATTGCATAATCAATATGTCAGCACCATTCAAGATGTCAAAAACGAAGTTGCTAAAATTGCAACTACCAATGATGAAATTCCATATGTCTTTCGTGCTCCAAGAAAAAATCCTTGGTTTGGTGGTCGTTTGTCTGAACTGCAAGATTTGGCAAACCTTCTTCCATTAGATGATACCAGTCAACCTAAAGTAAACATCGCAGCTGTGTGCGGTTTGGGTGCAGTGGGCAAAACAAGTTTGGCTGCCGAGTTTGCACAACAGAGGAAGGATTTCTATACTGGAGGCGTTTATTGGTTTTCTGGTGAAGACGACACTACGTTTGAAAACAGTGTTTACGATGTTGCTACGCGCTTCAGTACACAAAGTGACTCGTTTGGACTTACCTTTTCAGCAACATTGGCAAAGATATCTCGGAACAAAAACCCGTGGTTGATTGTTCTTGATAACATGGATCAATTAAGCCTTTCATCCAATATTGTTAAGTTGGTATCTGGACCTTGGCAACTTGATGCGTCTGGTCACATTCTAATTACCACGAGAAGAAACCCACTGCTTTAGCCAACGATATTCGAGATTTCAACGAGGGATGTTGCCTAAGTCTTGAATGTTTTGGAATTGAAGAAGGGAAGAAATTTCTTTTCCGCAGAATTAGAATCGTTCACGACGAAGAAATGGATGAAGTTGCTGAGAAATTAGTCCAACAGCTTGGTGGGTTACCTTTAGCAAGAGAGCAAACCGGAGCTTATATCAAATCACTGCCTTGTACGATACCTCAATACCTAGAGCTTTATGATTCGCAGCGCCTTCGTCTTCTTAATCGACAAAAGGCATCGTCTGTTTCAGTGTATGATTCTCCTGAGAGACTAGCTGTTCGTACAACGTGGCATCTTAATTTCGAGCACATCAAACAGACTGTTGATGATGGAATAGCTGCCAGTAGATTTCTCTACGCATCCACATTTTTAAATCCCAATGAGATTCAAAACGATATTATCAACATTGGCGAACCACCCGTCGAAGATGAAGAATTTTGTGAATGCGTGAAGACAACTTTGGGGCGTCAACAAGTCTTGAAACTGTTAACAGATTTTTCACTTTTTAAGGAAACTCCATCTTCCAACCTTAGCGTCCACCACCTAGTACAGGAGGTCATACTGGAAAATCTTAATCCAGAAGAGGAGCTTAAATCCATTAATGATGCCATTCGTATGTTACATTATGCTTTCCGAAATTGTTCTTCTCCTGACAACCTTTTTTCGAGTAAAAAATAGGAACCACCGTCTGTTATTTGTTGTGATCAGTCGCGTTTTTACAACTGGCATAAACTATGTTTACATAGTTACGATTTGGTAAGACATTTGAAGAGAATGGTCAAACAGTCTAACGTAGATCGAACGAGGATATTTCAACCTGAAATGGCTAGCATAGTGCACGAATGTGCTGTTCATTTGAGTGCCAACTCAAAGCACGATGAAGCAAAAGAATTAGCCAGTTTTGCTAATGATATCTTTAATTTGAGCAACCAACAAGTCCCAGCAAGTTCCCTTTTTCCTCACACTATCCCTCTACCTGAGTTAGTTCGCCGGCATATCCAGTATTCGTGCAACGCACCAGCAACTAGCAAGAAAGATGAATGTGGAGATGGTGTGGAGACGCAAAGCCCTTCGGTCACCTCTGAACAGCTAGAAGAAATGCAAATGAAAGGAAATGATTTGTTTAAAAACGGCTTTTACAACGATGCATTAAAAATATATTGTGACGCCATTGACATATCAAGGAATACAGCTTTCTTTGATGTGAGGTTGTTAAGTAATCGAGCATCGGTATATCTTAAGCTTGAGCAATATGATGAAGCCTTGCAAGATGCAGAAGAATACATATTACAACACCCAAAATGTTGGAGAGGTTATGCGAAGAAAGCGTTGGCCCTTGTTGAGTTGAAGGATACGCTGGGCGCTTATGTTGCCGCTTCGTTAGCGTATTACTACAAGAGGAATGTATTCCGTGACTTTGAACCTTTTAATAGAAAATTTGGTTCTTCACTCGAAATGCGTATGTGTATATGTCGCGATTCCTCAGATTTGTCATTAGCCTTGTGGAATGTAAGAATTTGGTATTTTCGGCGGAATCCATCGGCTAGCGTTTGTAACGATGTACCAGTTATCATTCTAGAAAGCGGTGATTACCGTATTGAGTCTATGGACTCTGAGCTATTTCATAGTGATGGTAAGGAACGTTCACTTATCATTCACAATTCCATTCTTGTAGGTGGTGAAGGTGAATGTTCGATGACATTTGATGATTATCATCATGTATGTTTCGCTCACGTTTTTATAGCTTACAATATTAGGTTTCGCACTCGCTTTTCTAACTGTCATTTTCTACCTGGCTTAATCGTGAAACTCACTCGTTGTTCTTTTGAGAGTTCCAACGATACTTACACTTCCTTTTTTTGCAAAGGGAAATTGAAAGCCGATTTTTGTAAGTTTCATAGTTGCACGATGGGCGGGTTGCTAGTTACCGGTGATGCTGAGATTGAAACTACAGAGTTTTACGGCAACGCAGTCGCTTTAGAGGTGCGGGAAGGTGGTCGTTTAGTTGTAAAAAACAGTAGAATGTACGGCAATTTGCAAGGTTTGCTTATTGGTCCACAAGCAAAGGAATGTGTTGTTGAAGATTGTGAGGTTTATGACAACGAGTGGGGTGGCATTGTCGTTACTAAGTGTGCATCTAATGTTGTAATAAAGGGGAACCGTAGTTATGACAACGACTCGTGTGGGATATCAGTGGGTCACAATTCAAAAGTATCCATTTTGGAGAACGAGATTCTAAGTAACAGTGACTGGGGCATATATGTTACTGACTCCAGTCAGGCTGTCGTGAAGAAAAACAAAATATATAATAATCAGTGCGGTGGCATTCTTGTAAAGTCAGATCCCGCAATTGAAAAGTCTGTTATTGAATATAATGATATTTCTTTCAATTCTGGACCTGGAATTTGCGAAGAAGGATTGCCGACTCGACGCCGAGAAAACATGTTGCAAGATAACAAAGAAGAAAGGAATCAATCAACAGCACAAAGTGCAATCAAGTTATGTTACTGTTGCAAAAAAACGGAAATGAATTTAAAGAAATGCAGCAAGTGCTATACGGCTCAATACTGTGGAAAACCATGCCAGAAAAGTGATTGGAAGAACCACAAGGAGATGTGCGATCGTCTCTTATCTGGTGGAAGTATTGTCCTAAACTATGTTCCAAAACCAATGATGACGGCTCATGTATCTCCTATTGAATGGAGCCGAAGTACTGACCGTGGTGATGAGGTGAAAACAGCTTTTAGAACAGCCACGCGAGGACTAGGTCTTCTACCTGTCGGTCCAAAATACTGTCTGCCACCCAATACGACTACCTGGTTCATCGCTAAAATCAGCGCAGGCATTTCCGCCTTGTCGTTTGCGAAAAAACAAGAATATGACCCTTCCGTGGTTCGACTGTACGATCGTAGTCTCACGATAGATGGGATTTTGACTGGTGCTGATCAAATTCACAATTTAGTTCGGAAGCATGCCGCAATGGGGCAATTGAAGAAGGAATGGAAAAAACTGTTCATGTGGGTTAAAGGACATGAACCTGGGAAACTTCGTGTTCTCATTAACGAGTTTCCTTCATATCAACACTGGTGATATACATTTTATTGAGACATGTGGAACAGCAGCGTATATTATGAGCTGAAACTACAGCAACAACGACGATGGTGATGACGACGATATTACGGACTGGTAATTATTTACGGTAGGAAGATATGTCTCCAAAACATTAGGCCAGAAGTGAATTTAAGTTTAAAGGGTATTGCGTTGAACAATTAGACACAGTTGTTTACACGTTTGATGGCCTCATAACAACAGAAAAGATTTAGTGTTACCATGTAGAAAAGGGAAAAGTTGGATGGAGAAAATGAAAACAGTGCCGGTGAAGGGAAAGGAGACAGAAGGCAGTTGAACATGGAATGATTGCTCTGCCAGACAGTAACTAATAGTGACTGTAGAAATGTTGCATTGACATAATGACAGTACTTTTTATGTTAATATTTCCTATTTAAAGGATGATATTGTTATTTTTGTAGTTGTGAGTGTATATTAGTACCAAAAATAGTGACCCAATTTCTGACCCAACCTTTTCCTCATGTAAAGTTTTGTTTTTACCAACCCATTTTCTCTTCGCTATCTACAAATTCTAGAAATTGTTCGGCGCTTGTCTGAAACGCAATCGTAATGACTGACTAAGTATTCAAATGGCGACTTGTAAGAATAAATTATATCATGATGAAAAAGTAAATCGAATTTATTTCTGGGGTGCTAATTTGTCGTTACTGGTGAAAACTACGCGCTTAAACGACACGCATATAAACTGTCCAGCCCTTCCTTGTCATTAAAGGGCACTGATAAGTTTTAATGTATTTTTCAATGAATGCGTACGCCTTATTTCAATTCAAAAACTCGTTACTATAGAGTTAGGTTATTAGTAGATCCGGTCAGGGATTATAATTAAGATTAGTGGTTGTTAGGGTTGCGTCAGGCCTAGGAATGAATTTCAGACATGTACTAGTCCCATTTTAGTGGTCGGGCGGTCACAACTACTTAATGTACATCAAATTGTCAATTTGACAAGTACTGGTGTAAGACATTATGTATAGTATATATAATGAGAGGACCAGTATGCAAAATTGGTTTTTCTTTACACTCCGATTACTGTGGTGAATATATATGTCATAAACTAGGGAAACTACGAACAGGAACTAAAATTAGGTGAAATATTTGTGAAACGTGATAAAAGGAGAAGAGAAACAACAGCGAGAGATTGAAATTGACATGTACGCGTTTCGACCTAACAGACTCCTTCAGCAGGGTTTTTTAAGAGAGAGAGGCGGGGGGGGGTGTATATGTAGAGGTTATATAAGAGAATGGAAAGAAAGTTTCGGAGTTCGGATAATAATGTAGAGCCAAGAGAATAAAAGTTAATTACGAAGTTATTGAAAATAACCAAATATGCATAGTTACAAAAAAAATAAATGAAAGGTTGAAAGGATAATGAAAATTGACTTAATTACTACATGTTATTAGTCAATTTATTCGTTAAGCAACTCCAGACGAAGGGCCTTCGCTCGAAACGTCGAAATTCTCCTTATATTTTATATCGTTTTGATTGCGAACCACTTGGGTTCTGCGACCTTTTTGCGTGCAGAATTAGCATGTTAATGTTGTGACTGCTAAAGTATATATGCTATTTCGAAACTACCTCTTTCGTCTTTATCAAAATGACAATTGTAACATGTTCAATAAGCTGCATAAGTAAGCTGTAGTAAATGAGTCACGAACAACTCGTTTAAACAGTAGTAAATCTGATATGTCATAGTAATATTTCTAGAGTTGAGTATCAATTGATACATTTTACACAACTTATATACTTTGTGATTAAGTAGAACCCGTACTATATCAATACGCGCTACCTAAACACTTTTGCTTAGTACTTAATATTCAGAAAATTATTATGCTGCGACAATTGAAAGTTATATCAATGAAAATGCTATGTGTTTCAACCGAGTGTCAATCGAGCACATGTTCAAACCGTTTTGTATTACATACATATTTTCATGTCAAATATGCACAATCTTTAAGTGGTTTTCGATAACTTACCCTTGCATTTTATCACATATCACATCTGTTTATAAGCACATTTATAATATACTGTTCAGTCTGTTGGATTATGTTACATTTCAAAGATATTGACCACAACAAGCACAGTATAAAAGCATCATATATGCCAATGCAATTCAGTAAATATGTTATAGGCCTACTAAATGCTATATGACTTTCGCAAAACTGATGTTCTAAAACACTCGGTAATTAGTCAAAGAGGTTAATTATGCTTTTCATTGCCTTTCAGACAATCAGTTTCAAAAGTCTTGGGACAGATGCCACAAAACCTTTGAATTTCAACAAAACGTCAATCCCCCCACCCCCTGTTCAATGTTGTGTCCCATTGCTCGTCGGGTTTGATGTGTTTTGGTTTAAACAACATTGATTGGGGTGGGGGAGGGGGCGGGGGAGAGGGAGGGGAGCGGTATTGTGTGTAAAAAACTGTAATGATCCACTTACATATGGCGTCATATTTCCGCCAAAATTAAAGATCGTATTTGCAACATTATAGTTCGTATTCGCAACATTATAGTTCGTATTCCCAACATTATAGTTCGTATTCGCAAGTTGAATTTTGGCGGATGAAGGTGTTAAATCTCCGCCAAAATTCAACTTGCGAATACGAACTATAATGTTGCGAATACGAACTATAATGTTGGGAATACGAACTATAATGTTGCGAATACGAACTATAATGTTGCGAATACGAACTATAATGTTGCGAATACGAACTATAATGTTGGGAATACGAACTATAATGTTGCGAATACGAACTATAATATTGCGAATACGAACTATAATGTTGCGAATACGAACTTTAATGTTGGGAATACGAAATATAATGTTGCGAATACGAACTATAATGTTGAGAATACGAACTATAATGTTGCAAATACGATCTTTAATTTTGGCGGAAATATGACGCCATACTTACAAGCTAAAACTACATGTGTCCCAACAACTTCTGAAAGTGATTGTCTGGGCCCCATATGCCATAACATCATTGTGCATCTCAAAAGTACAGGGGATAAAATGCTCTGCGAACGAAGTATTTCAGCTCCATTTCGTTCACAGAAGATCTAATATAACATAGAACAATTTCAATAAAATTCTCAAAGTTAATAATTAACAGAATATCAATATAATTTTTTATGTCATATAGCATTCTTAATCACAAAGGTTTTATACGTTGTTTGTTTCCACAAATTTCGGAAGAGCATAAGTAGGTTATTTGAGAGATCAAGTTGGCAAGCTATCGGAAAGCTCGATAAGAGTAAATGCGGCATTTAATTGAACTCAGTCAGACGATCCCAGAAATTACTATTCAGCGTATTCGTACGTGGTAAAGAATGACCCGGACTTCGTGATTTCTCCAGGGCTTATAGACCTCCATAGTGCTGACGCGTTAGCAAGTACTAGCGCGCGCGACCCGCCGAAGCAAGACATTTGCACTGAAGGCTTCCAAAAATATGTAACGAAAGGGACTCGCAGTATACGGCGTTGTACGCATTATACAACACAAAGTTAGTGTTATACGCTAATTATGCAAATAAGCGTTTCCGGACCAGACGAATGCAATGAAACTAACATCGGTTGTCACTTCGATTGTCACTATAGAAATATGAAATAATGGGCAACTAGGCAGCTTTTAAATCAGAACAAGGCTAAGAGAAATTTGTTGAGAATGTCTAACAATGTATTTGCTATTAATGAAAGGGTTTGAAATTGATTAAGCCAAGTTTTGGATCGATTGACACTTTTCTACATAAATAAATCTAGATAACAGTCAATTTTCCATAAGTAACAGATTACTCGGAGCTCATTTTATGATTTACGAATAAATTGACCACTTACGCGAAATAAAGCCGCGACTTATTATCGCTTGAATTAATGGCTCTATTATGACCAGTAGAGAGTTTAAGAACTACGACGCGGATTAATGTCCAATACCTCTGCAAGATGTCCAATGGACATATAGAAATGTCCAGTGGACATTTGATTTGTCCATTGGATCCAATGGACAGGCATAAGTCCACTGGACATTTGGTTGTGCATTAAGTAAGTTATCTCGAATGACGTCATATATGGGCATCAACCCCATGCAGGTAAGCAGGCCTGTGAGATGGCAAAGGCAGTATGTCCAATGGTCCATTGGATGCAATGGATCCATTGGACATGCAGATGTCCATTGGACATTTCAGTTGTCCATTGGATCAAATGGACATAGAGATGTCCACTGGACATTTGATTTGTCCATTGGATCCAATGGACAGGCATAAGTCCACTGGACATTTGGTTGTGCATTAAGTAAGTTATCTCGAATGACGTCATATATGGGCATCAACCCCATGCAGGTAAGCAGGCCTGTGAGATGGCAAAGGCAGTATGTCCAATGGTCCATTGGATCCAATGGATCCATTGAACATGCATATGTCCAATGGACATTTGATTTGTCCATTGGATCCAATGGACAGGAATATGTCCACTAGACATTTGGTTGTGCAGTAAATAAGTTATTTCGAATGTCGTCATATGTGGGCATCAACCCCATGCCGGTAAGCAGGCCTGTGAGATAGCAAAGGGAGTATGTTCAATGGTCCATTGGATCCAATGGATCCATTAGACATGCAATTCTCACAACTCGACCCAGAATGGGAGCTACTCAAGAGACACCCTTGCAAAACATTTCTACAGTACACGGTATGGGAAGGTCTAGAAGACAGCATTTCGGCCGACTCAAACCAATGTGTACTCGAAATCTCAGTAACCTTGTTAAAATTCCTATTACCAAAACTCATTCTCCAAGAACTGAATTCGTTCCAAAAATTATGCTAACTAATGTCATGTCTCTAGTTCCTAAGCTTGACGAGCTACGTATTTTGACATCTGCACAAAGTTTTGATTTGGGTTTTATAACTGAAACTTGGCTGCGAGAGTCCGTTTGTGACACCCACGCGACTTTATTTGATTACCACCTCGTGAGGCGG